GTCAACAAGAGGGCCAGTTATAGGTTCTTGCTTCTCAGCTCCGTGAAAATGGATCTGGGCGCTTTAAGTAGCTTTTCCTTTGCCAGCCGGCACTGACGCTCTGTCGGTAGAGGGCGATGGAGATACTGCAGGGGAGAGGCGTTTGCTTCTAGAGTCTGTGGGGCAGGCAGCCGGGCAGCAGCTTCCCCTGGCTCCTTCTCAGGAGGTTTTGTAGGAGGCCTTTTGGTGAGACACCTCCTCTCGTGCACAGTTTCCCCCAGCACCCTAGAGGGTGGATTCCAGGCAAGTTCCAGAGGGCTGATTTCTAGCAAGTTCCACCAGCAGGGCACCACAGTAACTGTTCTGCCGTTAAGTGAGCCACAGCCATGCCCTCGCAACAAGGTCTGGGTGTCAGCCCCAGGGCAGGGGATGGAACGAGGGGGGCTCTTCATCTCAGCCCTATTAGTAGATTAGTGGCTGCTCCTTCTGTGTGCTATTCCCGTATTCTTTAAAGTTCTCTTCACTTCCTACTAGCCAATCCTTCGTTACTGCAATCCTGTTACAGTTAATAATTCTCTACATTAAACTCTCCCTGTTCCAGTGACCACGTGGTAGCTGTGTCACTCCTCACAGTGATAGAGATCCATTTCACGTAAGAGTGGGCCTTCCCTGCTCGCAGGGACTCAGACGCCACTGCTATCTGGGGGCTTATACAAAGCTTGATCTATATGCACAGGCATGGGTCTCCTGGTACCCCCGTGTCCCACTGTGACTGTGAGTGCCCCTGTGACACCACACTGTGACTCGTCCCACTGTGACTGTGAGTGCCCCTGTGACTTGCCACACTGTGACTGTGACTTGTCCCACTGTGAGTGTGACTTGCTCCACTGTGACTATGAGTGCCCCCTGTGACTTGCCTGTGACTGTGACTTGCTCCACTGTGACTGTGACTTGCTCCACTGCTACTGTGAGTGCCTGTGACTTGCCCCACTGGGACTGTGACTTGCCCCACTGCGACTGTGACTTGCCCCACCATGACTGTGACTTGCCCCACTGCGACTGTGAAGGCCAGCAACCCTGGCCTAAAAAGGGCATCACTCTGCTGCAATCCGAGATGCTTCCTGCCCATTGCTCTCTTTCTCCCTCTTACAGGAGTCAGAGTCGCGTCACAGTCTGAAGGCTATGGCTGCCTTCTCGGGCTCCCTGCCCTGTCCCTCCAGACACATTACCCAGTAAGGCTCATGCACACATTATTCCATCTTGGCATCTGCTTCCCTGAGGACCCAAGCTGACACACAGGCCATGAACCAAAAGAGCAGTGTGTGTGGGAGGGACAACATCCACAGGGCTCATCTTTATCAACAAACCCTTTTTATTTTTATTTTTTGTGAGGAAGATCAGCCCTGAGCTAACATCCATGCCAATCCTCCTCTTTTTGCTGAGGAAGACTGGCCCTGGGCTAACATCCGTGCCCATCTTCCTCTACTTTATATGGGACACCGCCACAGCACGGCTTGACAAGCGGTGCGTCGGTGCACACCCGGGATCCGAACCCGGGCCGCCAGCAGCAGAGCTCGTGCACTTAACCACTACACCACAGGGCCAGCCCCCAACAAACTCCTTTAACATGAATAACTGTAGAATTGTTTTGCTTTCCTCTAGATGTCTTTTTTTTTCTTATATGCCTTTAGCACCGTGACCTTATCCTCTATTGCGCTTAGCACATTTGGGAATTTTAAACTTCTGTGTGTAGTTTGATTAATGGCTCGCTCTCTCTCTCTCTCTTTCATAAACTACTTGAGGGCAAGGTCCACGTGTATTTTTTTTTCACCGCTGCACGCCCGACTCCTACCATAATGCTGAGCACATATTAGAGGCTCAAGATTATTAACTGAATGAATGATTAAGCCTGTTTAGGAATATTCAGTCTACAGCAAAATTTACTAAGTGTAGAGCAAAAGAACATAATTCACAGGACACTATTATGATACATACAGAAGTCCTGGAGAGTAGACCTATGATTCTAGAATACAGATAACGATCAGTTGTCTGGTGACGGTCTCACAAGAAGATCTAATAAGGAGTTGTAGGTAAGTGTAGTGCTAGTAGGGCAGGCTCCAGGCCTTGAGCGGAAATAAACAAAGTTAAACCACGGAGATTTAAGGGGTTGTCAGCAGTCATCAACATGAGGTCATTTGAAAAGAAAGCCCTGCCTCTTTCCTGCTCCCCACCAACCTGTTAGGGTCACCCTGCCCTCTGACACGGCTTGTAATTCTTAGTAACTGTGACATTATCATCTCCAGAAGGCCACTGGTAAAATATCGTCTAGGAGGAAAGAAGATTTCTGATCTTTCCACATTCACAGCATGGACACAAAATTTAAGACCGTGCTCACTCTCAGAGATGACTCTACACTTGTGCAGCCCCGAGAGTGAATGCCTCCTTAAAGCCCACACCCCAGGAATCTCGTGAGGCTCCTCCTAGCCCCCGCCCACTTGGGAGCCTAATCAAACGCAGATTCAGGGGCCCCACCCCAGAACTTGGTAAATCATACACTTTGAACTGAGAGTTACTGACAAAGAAAGGGAAATATCTACTTCCCTTCAAGAGGGAAGAAGTCAACTGAAAGATTTAATTGATTAACACAAAAAATAAACATACATAATTTGCAAACAGCATTTCAGAAATCAGGATAACTGCCAGAAAGGATCAGTTGAAGGCAGAATACTGAACCCTAATACATTTGCATAAAGTGTAATTATTTTTTATTTTATTTTTTTTATTTATTATTCCCCCCAAAGCCCCAGTAGATAGTTGTATGTCATAGCTGCACATCCTTCTAATTGCTGTATGTGGGACACGGCCTCAGCATGGCCAGAGAAGCGGCACGTTGGTGCACGCCCGGGATCCGAACCCGGGCCGCCAGCAGCGGAGCGCACGCACTTAGCTGCTAAGCCACGGGGCCGGCCCGTCATAAAGTGTAATTAAAAAAACTTTTTTTGCCTAGGAAAGGAGAAACACGGAGAAAAGGGAATACTTTGGATAAGAAATCGACACATATTAAGCACTGCAAAGAAATACTACACATAACTTTATTTTTCTTTTGAATTAAGAGGATTTACACAAATTTGACTTTGTGAACAAAACAAAGCACACATCGATAATTACCATAAAGTTTTATTGATCCAAAAGTATTTGCCACCAATGGCAATCATTGTATAACTCTAGTTGTAAGAATCATAATGATGCCACAGTTTGGATTTATTGTCTACCTTTACAATTAAATATAAAAACCTTTTAGCAGATTATGAGACGTCTATGATTAATTTGAAATTATTTCACTTTTCAAATACCTTTCTTAGGAATAAAAGGTCTAATCATAAAGTATGTTAATTTTCATTCCTAAAAATTTTTTTAAATCACAGGCCAAAGGACACGGGTTGTGCCTTAAAAATTCATTTCTTTCAGGAATCGTTTTTGCATAGACATAATTTGATAACACTAAAAAAGCGGAAAGTGATTTTTCCATGCAAACTATAAGCTCCTATAAAGTACAGAAGTGCATTTTTGAAATCTTAAGGCATTTGGGCACGAAAGACACCTCCGTGTTTCCTTGGCTTAGAGCTTGGCTTTCTGCTTAAAAGTCTCCTTAATCTTTTTGACAACAGACAGGTCCCCTACTCCTTCAGGCCAGTTGTCGTGATCTGTTAAGTAAGTGGAAAACCTCATGTCACTCACAAATCTAGGAACTTCATTAGTCCTCTCGGTTTCTACCAAACCCTCTTGTTATTTTCCCTAGTTCACCCCTTTCCTTAGCAAGAGAAGAGAAATTATTAGGACAAATGGCAAAGGTTTTGAGAAAATCCTGGATTTGAATCCCAGCTCTGTCACTTACTAGCTTTTCCAAATTTGGAGAAGTTACTCTTCCTGATCCTCAGTTTTCTCATCTATTAAAAGGGATAACAACCTTTATCTTTTAAAGTGGTGAGAGTTAAATGTGACACTCTCTCTACAGCGCTTCACATAACCTAGACATTCAACAAATATCACTTCCTTAATAATAGTAACGTTTTTAAATAAGCTTACTTTGTCCCAGGCATTTATAGTTGCTTCCCCAGCATCTAGTCTCCCATCTCCTCTTTCCAATAGACTCAGTTTCCATTGAGGAATCCATGAGGTTCAGGGGAAGTGACCCCACTTAGATCACTGACCGATCTGTCAGTCAGTGCACCCCATTCCCCTGGCTGTGGTCACTGGTCGAGGACGGACATTTGCATAAGCTGGTCCAAAGCAGAGAGGATCTCAGAATTTTCTTAGAAATGCTAGAACAAAGTCATTCCCCTCCCCTCTCTCTCTGTCCAGCTGGATGCAGCTATAGGAGTGGCAGGCAGCCATCCTGCAACCAGGAGAGTCAGTCTTAAGACAATCATCATAGAAGCAAAAGCAGAGGGAAAATAAAAAAAAAAAATGTCCCTGATGAGATCACTGAGCTGCTGAGTCCAGTCCCCCCAGCTTTTCAGTTACGCACGGCAACAAACTCCTTTATGGCTTAAGCCAGTTAGAGTTGCAGCTCAAAGCATCATATCTGACACAGGGCTTTAAATGTGCATTATCTAATTTAGTCTTCCCAACAGCCTACAAAATAAATACTATAAGTGACCCCACATTATAGAAAAGAAAATGGAAGCTCACAGAAATTAATTTTCCAAAGATCATACAGCTAGTAAGGGTATAGCCAAGTTTCACCCCAGTCATTCTCACTCCAGGGCTGGCAATCTTAAAGAAAATACTACACAGCAGTCCCCCCTTATCTGTGGTTTCACTTTCCTTGGTTTCAGTTACCCTTGGTCAACTGTGGTCCTAACATATTAAATGGAAAATTCCAGAAATAAACAATTCATAAGTTTTAAATTGCCCGCTGTTCTGAGCAGCGTGATGAAATCTTGCAGTGTTCTGCCTGGAACGTGAATCATCTCTTTGTACAGCAGATCCACGCTGTACACTACCTGCCCGTTAGTCACTCAGTAGCCGGCTCGGTTATCAGATCGACTGTCTCGGTATCACAGTGCTGGTGTTCAAGTCACCCTTATTTTACTTAATCATGGCCCGAAAGCCCAAGAGTAGTGATGCTGGCAATTCAGATATGTCAAAGAGAAGTTATTGTGGTTAATCTCTCACTATGCCTAATTTATAAATTAAACTTTATCATAGGTGCGTATGTATAGGAAAAAACACAGTATATATAGGGTTTGGTACTACCAGCAGGCATCCCCCGAGGGTCTTGGAACGGATCTACCACAGATAAGTGGGGACTACTGTACTGAAAGGATGAATATTCCCACTCATAATCTGGGGGGAGTATAGTCTTAAAAGATGGATATGGCTGCTTTCCTCAAAAAATCAAAAAATATTTTTGTACTGATAAAAAAAAAGTGTTAGAATTACAAAAGAAAATCATTTCACTGGAGGCCTAGAGAAACAGGCACCTGGAATTTCTTTCCCTTTATAAAGGAAAAACAATTCAACTCACCTTAACAAATACTGACTCAACTCTACTGACTCAATTCTACTGAAGGAAGTGGAAAGATTCTCTCCCACCCTCCCTACTTTAATACCAACAGAAAACAATATTGCATAACCATGTAGGCATTTCTGTGTTTCCAACCCAGGTCCTTAAAACCACAGTATCTGATACACATCACCACATTGATGTTATTAGTAAAGAAATACATATGGGAGGGGAAAATAATAAGTAATATTAAAGTTCCATACTAATCATTTATTAATGCAAAGAAGGTCTTAGGCCTCAATTAGACTGTTGGCATGTGACAGAGTAGATTGAACCCAGGTCCCTGACATGAAATTCAAATATACATGCATTACACCAACCACATTTTAATTTGGTAGTAGCCACTTAATCAACTATCTTTAGCAACAGTTCAAATACATTTGAATTTTATATCCTTTTCTACATTTTGGGAGTGATTAGCTTGGATGTGCCTTTTAATTTCCATGGATTTGTTTTATGATTTGTAAAATTATGATACGGGACTGATTTTTTAGGACACTTCCAATCCCATAGTTCTATGATCTAGCCATGAGATACACACACACACACACACACACACACACACACACCATGAGATATACACACATAGACATTTGTGTGCAATATCTACATCTGGTTGAGCCTTAAAAAACTATTGTTTTTGTGCATAAAAAATGAATGAATAAAGCAAATCATATGATTTCCCTCAATATATATCCCAAAGATAGTGAAAAATAGCACCATACCATCCCTTCCCACCTAACAGATCTGACTCTTCTGCTCAGATATACAAGCCACTTATCGGAGGAACAAAGAGGAATCAATTCTAAAAAAATATGGGAAGCCCTTGCCTCTTTTCTATCTCTTCCTTTTACATATATACTCATACTGAGAATATTTTTCAAGGTTCCAATTCCACCAACCTATGCACAAACAAAAAACTTTTTTAATATATAAAGCTAAGTTCTATAATAAAGATATTTAGATATTTTATGTGACTACGAACATTTCCTTTAAAAATCACGAATACAAACGTGCACATTTTGATGTGATGTAAGAGAAAACCTTTATCTCTGAAGTAACTGTTTAAGGAATTTTGAAAACGTGAAGAGGAAAAGGCATAAAGCTAGGGACTGCTCATTTCTGGACTGCTCACCTGGTATCTCCTCTATGTGAGTGTACAGAGACTGGCCCCCATCCACCTCCACCAACTGTCCGGTGATGAAGGAAGCTGCGGGAGACAGCAGGAAGCACACCAAGGCGGAGACCTGGAAACAGAAGCACACACACGTACAGAAAAGCAGACACTCCCCATTTGGGGCTGCTTCCCATTCCCCAGTAAGCACACCTCAGAACACACGACTGTCACGTGAATTCTACAGTGTGTGTGCACAATAATCTGACAGCAGAGACAACTGCCTTTTTTGATTTGATCATCATTAAAAGCAGGTAAGTGACTAGGGTGGCAAGATATGAAGGAGCCTTAGACAGTGTCGAGTAAGCTATACAATGTGAAGAAGCCAACAGTGAACACCATGCTTAATCTTTGCTCTTTCCCATTTCAAACAATTCAGTTCCTTCCACACCTTTCGTTGCCCACTGCAGCCTTGCTTTTCAATGCCACCACATGCCTTGTATGTTTTCGTCCCCAAAATAGTCAATGTGTCTGTATAGCAATCAACTGGCATTCTACTTTGTTCAGCCCATGGTCCCGCAGGCCAAAAGCCCAGCAACTCAGACCACAGGAGTTTCTACAAGAGGGACTTCAGAATCCTACCGCATCCCCTAAAAATTCTGATAGTGAATTGATGAGGTCAGCAACATCTACTCCCAAAATCAAAGAGAAAGAGAGAAATTATTTGACTGGATGTAATGGAACTCTCCCATGAGGCTGTTGGCACAGGCAGTTTCTCCAAGGGTGATCCCACACACCTGCGTTAGAATCCCTATGCATGCTTATTGAAACCCCAGATTCCTAGCCCTACTTTGGATCTTCTGAATTGTAAGCTCTGGGGCTGAGCCCACAGAATCTGCTATTTTATCAAGCTCCCAAGCATGGCCAGGACTAGGGTGAGACACTTAGGGTATGGCATTTAAGGAGACCCTGCACTTGCGCAGCCCTGAGAGTGTGTCCTTAACTATTGCGTCCATTCCTGGCTCCCTCACCCGAGTCCTGATCCTGTACACGGCACTGTAGCCATGTCTGGTTACATGGCTGCCTCTTTGAGACTCTGAGACCCTGGCAGGCAGACATAGCTTCTCTCCCTCCTTGTATCCCCAGCAGCCAGAATAGAACTGCACTAAAACAGAGGCCACTAGTCACATGGCACTACCAAAACACGTTCCATATGGCTACTCCAAATTGAGATGTTCCATAGGCGTAATACACACACTAGATTTTGAAGACTTATAATGGCAAGAAGAATGTAAAATATCTCATTAATAATTTTTATATTGATTATGTGCTGAAATGATAATGTTTGGGATACACTGGGTTAAAAAAATATATTATTAAAACTAATTTCACCTCTTCTTAGTCTTAACATGACTCCTAGAAAGTTTAAAATTATGTATGTGACTATTATTATTATATTTCTATTGGACAGAGCTGGTATAGAATTAATCATTTAAAAGTTCCCACACCCCGGGGAAAAGGCAGAGTTCTGAGCCACGGTAATGAGTAACCATCAGAATACTTTGTCCTGTTTGATCAGCCGATGACAACTAGCCCTTTGAACAGGTTTTGTTAGCCAATCAATCAGTGAGAGCTCCTCCACTCTGCAAGTCAGCTGGTTGGGAAGAATCACTCCAGTAAGATCCTTTCTGAGTGCCAGCCAAGCAACAGTCCTCTCTCCCAAGGACCATGAGCTCCAGAAGTCTGCAAATCCCTAAAACCACACTCCCCCCAAGAAAAAGCAAAAGATGAGTAGTCTGCTCTGCTCAGAGGGACTGACCAGCAGAGCTCTCCCTGACTTAAAGATGCAACAAGTGTGGCTTTGTGTTGAATTTTGTTGCAAATATTGAGTGGTGGCCTCATCCTTTGACAGTGTTTAGCATAAAATAAGCACTTGATAAATGTTTACAGAAGGAAGGAATCTCTATGAATCTCTTCCCACAAAATGAGGGGATGTTGCATCACCCAGCTCCTAATACTGGGTTTTGCCCACAGACGAGGCACCATTAAATAAGACTGAATTGAATGGAAACTATCTTCTAGGTAAAAGACATAAATATTCAGGATGCCTGGTTTACTTTTGGAACTCAACAGGGAGCTAAACTGAAATAAAATTTTTATAATTACCAAATTAACTAGGCACTATTATAATATCTTCAGATCGATTCTTCTTAACTTTCATCCTAATGGAATCCGTTTGATGATGGACTTGAAGTACCAAGTTAATCACAAGACTTTCATCAATGAATAAACACTATCAGAGACTAGCAACTTGTATCTGCTTTATCTATGTGGGTAACTCCTCTGTTGGCTCAGTTATATGTTTATGTTCAGCCTTGTTTATTAAAGGTCACGAGGATTTTAAATAATTGGGATTGGGTTTGAATCCCGGTACCGTGACCCAAGTATGGCCCAGGCAAATTATCAAACCTCATTGGCCCTTAGTTTCTTACTTTGTAAAATGAGTGTATCTCACAAGCCATCTGAAGGGTCTTCCAAGTGCTATGTTCCCTTTCCAAGAGATTCAAGGGACATCATGGCAGCTCTAGGCAGTTCCTTTTAAAACTACAGTACATTCTGACCCTCCTGACTCTATGCCAGGGACTGTCACTTAAAATAAGGCAAGTCACTGGTAAGCACTTAGGTCAATGGCCTGGTGTGAAAGTTCTGCCCCAAAAGAGACACTGGCGGTTAACCGGGGCAATAAGAATATCTTGGAAACATGGCCGAGTGATGCGAGAACACAATCAGGCAGAGGCCAAAACTCTCCTTCTGCATCTCACGGCAGCCTTCAGCATCTCTCCTTCCCTTCACAGCCACACTTTTTAAAGGTATTGCCTACATTAGCCAAAGCTCGGTCAGCAACACCAGGGCATACCTAAGACGTTTTCAGGGGATTTGTAAGGTCAAGACCATTCTAATAATAATACTAAGTCCTTATTTGTCTTTTTCACAATGTTGACATTTGTACTAAAGGCGCCAAAGCCATGGTGGGAAAGATGACTGAAGCCTTCGAACCAGTCATGGCAGGAACTGAACTAGCGGTCATTCTACTGGTAATCATTACATTCTTCAGTGGCAAGTACTCATGACGAGGAAAAGCCTGTTTCACTTTAGAACGTCCTTGATGAAGCAGTGAAAATTCTGAATTGTATTAATCTCAACCACTGAGTACACGTCATTTTATTATCCTGTGTGATGAAACAGGAATTACACACTAAGCTCTTCTGCTGCATATAGAAGTATGATGGTTGTCTAAGGAAGAGAACATGTGGTTGAGCTATGAACCGAACTAGTCACTTTCTCATGAAACACCATTTTTTACTTGAAAGAATGACTAACAAACTATGGTTATTCACACTCGAGTATCTGGCAGACACTTTTTCCAAAATCAACAAAATGAGACTGCCACTTCAGAGGAAAACGAGAGACAGGATTTGTTGTCAATGATAAAATCTGAGCTTTCAAGTAAAAAGGAGAATTTTGGAAAACTTGCATTTGTCACCATTAACTTGACAGTTTCCCAATATTCAAAGATTTTTCTGAAGAGATTGGTGGTGATATTAACAAATGTGATCTTGTGATATTGTATAATGGATTGTGTGTCAACATTGTCAACATTTAGATCTCCATAACTCAGTGAACCAATATTTTCCAAAAGACCAACCCCTGATGTTACAAAATCATCTATGGGTGAAAGATCCAGTTCAAGTGCCAGAGAGATCAATGTATTTTAAGGGAACAGCGTACAGAAAGTTCACTGACATGGTTTCAGATTCCACATTGCAACTAATCTTTAAGAAGCTGCCATTTGTCAAATATCAAAGGAGACTATCCAGAATTATCTGAAAAGACTATTAAAATCCTCCTCCCTTTTCCAACTGTACATCTGCATGAAGCCAGATTTTTTTCATCTGCTCTAACCAAAACAACATAGTAGAACAGACGGAATGCAGAAGCAGATGTGAGAGTCCACCTGTATTCTATTAAGCCATATGTTAATAAAAAAGAGATTTGTAAAAATGTAAAACAAATGTAAAAAAATTTATTTTCTTCTGTTTTTTAAAATGTAGCTCTTTTTGATTAAAAATATTATTCATGTTAATATTTAATGCCTTTGTTACTATTATTTTAAATAAATTGATAAATATTTCTTAAATTTCTCAATTTCAATTTCTAATACATAAATATAGATGATATAGTTCACATAAACAAAAGGAATGTTCTGTCTAAAATAAAAAATTAATCATATCATTCCTTTGATTAAAATCCTTTAAAACCCTTCTTAGTTTTCAGTATAAAAATGCAAACACGTTGTTTAAAATAGCTCACCAAATGTTTGATTTAACAGTATCTTTTAAAATTTAATATGCATATTTATTTAGTTCAGGAATTCTACTGCTAGAAAATTACCTCCTCACAAAAGAGTGCATGACTATGTTCAAGGATGTTCACTACAGAATTACTGCAACATAAAAAATATAAATAGAATCTAAATGTGCAACAATAGGATCTAATTAAATATATTATGGCATATCCATAGCAAGTTGCAGAAAAGAACATATAGTAGAATCCCATTTTTGCAAAAAAGTCAATAAATATAGATATTTTTGTGTATGCATAATAAATTTCTGGAAAGATATACATAAAACTGATAATGAATGCTAGTTCTAGGAATTAGAACACATTTTATTCTGAGAGTTTTATGATTTTGCTTTTATACTTAGCACTTTAATATCTGAAAATTATTCTGTACGTGAAACAAGATGGGGGGTCTAATCTATTTCTAAATGAACAGCCAGTTGCTGCAAGACTTTTGCTAATGTCTATCCTTTCCTCACAGATTTGAAATGCTACTTTTATCCTATAAAATCCCCATATATACATGGTACTGATACAAGAGTCTATTCTGTTCCACTAATTTTAACCAGCACCAGATGTTGTAAATAAGTATAGCTTTACAGTAGGTTTTGCTGTCAGGAAGGCCAAATCCCTCCCATTATTCTTTTTCAGAACATTTTTGGCTGTTTTTGCATAAATATTTTTCTAGATAAATTTTAGAATCAGTGTGTTAAGTTCCAAAAATATATTAAATTTATACATTAACTGGGGCTGGCCCAGTGGCATAGTGGTTAAGTTTGCACACTCCACTTCAGCGGCCCGGGGTTCGCAGGTTTGGATCCCGGGTACGGACCTACACACCACTTATCAAGCCATGCTGTGGCAGGCATCCCACGTATAAAGTAGAGGAAGATGGGCATGGATGTTAGCCCAGGGCCAATCTTCCTCAGCAAAAAGAGAAGGATTGGCAACAGATGTTAGCTCAGGGCTAATCTTCCTCACTAAAGGAAAAAAAAAATTAATTTAGGGAAACTTGATTTTAATAAAAATGATTCTCTCCATTGAGGAATATGACATGTCTCTATTTGTTCTGGTCTTTTTTTCTGTTCTTCAGTAACAAATTTTTTTCGTTTAGAGCTAAGTTTACTCTGGATATTTTACTTTTTATTATTATTGTAGAAAAGATATCTGTTTTTTTCATTGCATTTGAAGACTGATATTCCTGGCATTTAAGAAAGCTATTGATTTTTACATACTTAGATCTGGCCACCTTACAGAAATCGCATATGGAACTTCATATAGTCATAACTGTCTGACTCGCTCAGGGTCCTTGTGTACTGACAAATGCCATGTGATAAAATAACTAGCTGAAAAGTACAATAAAATAATAAAAACATGCTGTTCTTAATTCACACCACACTCTCCCCTGAATAAAGACTGCTGTCAGTATTTAAACCACAACCAGGATATTCCCAAGAGCCAGAAAGTGCCAGGGAAATGGTTTGGAGGCAGTAGGGGCAATCATCTCTCCCAGCCAACCAGACGATGTGAAAAGGACACCAAATGTTACAAATTTCCAAGGTATAAAACAAAGTAACTCTAATCACGTTAGAAATATACATTACCTCCTCAGGAACCCCAAGTCTTTTAGCTGGGATTTTCTGAAAGAATCCTCCAAACATCTCCTTTGACAAAGGGCCATAGTTGTCAAAAGCAGTCTGGGAATAAATGGCTCCCTATGTTTAAAAATAAAACAGGAACAAAAAAAGTACATAAAATTAAATTTTCATTGTAAAGACATCAAGGCGGTCTATTGACCAATACCAAAAGTTAAGTGGTTTAAGTTTAATAAAAAGGTTAACATTTCTAATATTAACTTTTCTCAATATTGTCAGAGAAGTACAGTCAACCGCTATTACAAATGGACTATCTGAATGCTCATTTCCTTCCCTTGATAACCAGCCAAGTCTTGGATTTTTTTCATAAAAGACTTGGTTTCTGAAAGCATAATTATATTAGTAGATCAGAGAGTCACTTCACCGGGAGGAATGGGGCAGGGGAGTCTATTTTATGTTCCACCAGGCTTCCCACTTTACAAGAGAAGACTAGGCTATGGTTATGGGAGATTTAGAAAATGCAATCTTTTCATGGCTTTTCACCTAGAGTGAAATCACAAGTGAAACATTTGAATCCAATACAAATAAACTAAAATTTTAATTGTTTAAGAATTCTTTTATTCAGCTCTCATTAGCTTTTAAGGGTTTATAAAGCCACAGAAATTACTCAAAAACTGTACAACACAGGATAAAGCTATTTGTTATTAGCTGATAACTACAACAGAAGTTATAGAGGGGGGGTAGGAAACAGGGGAGTGAAGGTAAAATGAGGAAAGTGGGTGGGCGGTGCTAATAATTACTGGGGCAATACACTGGTTTCCAATTAAACAATTTATAACCTTATACTTAAAGAGGATGGAATCTTCTAGAAGTATTAAGGTTTAGACATTAAACCTAAAAATGTATCTGGAGGACAAACACAACTTTAGTATTGTGCTATAACACTAACAAACCTTGAAAGTTTTCAAGAGATGCACTTCTGGAGGGTTATTCCAAGGTAGCAACATTAAGAATGGAACTAGGGGCCAGCCCAGTGGTGCAAGTGGTTAAGTGCGCGTGCTCCACTGCGGCGGCCCAGGGTTCGCCGGTTTGGATCCTGGGCGCGCACTAATGCACTGCTTGGCAAGCCATGCTGTGGCGGCGTCCCATATAAAGTGGAGGAAGATGAGCATGGATGTTAGCCCAGGGCCAGTCTTCCTCAGCAAAAAAAGAGGGATTGGCAGATGTTAGCCCAGGGCCGATCTTCCCCAAAAAAAAAAAAAAAAGAATGGAACTATATCTAATTTACCCTACGAATATTTCAGTGTAATATGGGTAAGGTAATGTCAGCTGTGAAGGAATGAAGGGATATGAAGTATCTGGCTAGGAGCCTGCAATTTGTTAGAGATGAGATTTCTCTACTAACGTCAAGAAGTCAGTTGACACGTAGTTCCCATTAAGTAGTATGGATAACATCTATAGATATTATATAGATAGATCTATAGATAATATCCCCAGATATTATAGAGTTTCAGATAGAGGCGTGATTACTATCTTAGGATAGTAATCCAGAAATGGGATTACATTTCAATGTCCAGAAAACATCCCAGAAAAGGGCATTTGAGCTGGGTTTTGTTGGATGAGTGAGATGTTTCTTTTAACGTCTCTCTTGGAACACATGACAAATATGTAATACCCAAGGAAGCTTAAGCTCCATCTTATTTCACAAAAAATGGTAGTTTTTTAAGTTGAACATATTGTGTTTTTTTCCTCTATCATTTACATTATGTTTCAGAGAAATTTTCTCTTGACTTCCAGTTGATCTTTAACTGGGAGCGCCTCCCTAGAACTTTGACTTCAAGTTTCTCCCTAGCCCAATAAAGCATTGATGACATACCAAGAAATAACACAAAAATCTGGAAAAATTCATTCTTTGACACAGTGGGTTCTCAACCTTCACTGGGCATTTGAATTTCCTAGCAGGCTTTTAAAAATACCGATGCCCGGATTCCACCGTTTGGAGTCAAACTTATACATCATGATTTTCCAAACATTTTACAGATAATTCTCATATATTAGAATTAAGCCAGCATTGAGAATCACTGGCTTAATTTAACCTTCTTGACAATTTGTAAATCAAAGAATATTTCTTTCTGATTTTATATATTTTTAGAAGCCAATCTTTTCTAGAATACAGTCATATTAACAAATAGCTCTGTCAACAACACAAATGGAGTTAGAAGAACACAGTTTGTCAACAGCTTTCATGTAGAAGGTTTACCTACAGGAGCAACACAGTTGATTCTTACTCCACTTGTGGCCCATTCCAAAGCTAAGGTTTTGGAGAGGTTGTAAACACCTTCTCTGGCAGCTCCACTATGCCTTTCAAAGACAAAATATAAACATTACAGTCAGCTTCTGTCCAATATTCTTCTCATTAACTAAACTGACAAGTGTGCCAATGACCTATCAGAGCCCCACAAGAGCATCCTTATGATGAGTCTGTGTCTTTCTGAGTCTCTGTCTAAACAATGAGAAAGAACTGGACCCTTCAATATTAAAGCCAAGTCAAGCAAATCTCACAGAGTGTAGGCCCATATACGATCCCCCAAATCACCATGAACAGGAAAGGAATACTTTGAAGAACTTTTTATTATGGAGGAAAACAAATTGGTAATTTTGAGGGTTACAGGTGTGGTTATTTTTGAAATCAATGTTAGATAATCAGTGATATGAAATTCATATATCAGGCTAGAAACAGTATCAATGGACTTTCTAGACACACCAAAATTTAAATAAATTTTAATATATTTCCAGATAGGAGGTTCAAAATATTTAGGACTGCATGCATATGGGGTCTTGTGAAAAAGGTACAGATATACTATGGCTTAGAATTTCTAATTACAAGGTCCTCAGAACCAAGTATATGTGATCTGGGGGTGTACCCACTTCTCACTAGAGAGTACCTACGGAGTCCAATCTTCCTCAAGAAAACCCACCTCAGTCCCACTGTCAATTGCAGCAGCGCTGGTGGGACTCCAGGCAGAAGCCAACTGCTCCATTTGTCAGAATGACCTGAGTGACCTCATCACCATCAAATGCAGCCAAAACTTCTGCTGCTACCGCATGCAACAGCCCTGGGTGGCTCTGCAGGACAGGTTCCCTTGCCCTGTCCACCTGGCCACCAATGGTAAAAGGAGCCTTTCTGGAGCAACACTCAGCTGAGAGGGATGACTGAAATGGCCAAGCTCCTCCACACCAGCGGGAGCAAGAGGCAGGGCAGGAGCAGACGTGCTTGTGCGAGAAGCACAATCAAGTCTTGACCCTTTTCTCTGAAGAGGACCTAGAGGAGTTGTGTCCCCTTGCACTCGGCCCCCTGACCACCAGGACACCACATGAGGTCCTGCCTTTCATCACAGGAAAAGACTCAACGGTTACATGGAGCCCTGAAGAAGCAAGTGGCAGACGTTCAGGAACCAGGAGCCACCCAAGAGACAAAGCCACTAGAACTGAGAGAGAGAGGAAGAAACCAGAGAGAGAGATTACTCTCTGAACTGAGCACCTGAATCAGTTTGTAGAACGTGAGCAAGAGGTTACTGAAGGGCAGCAGAATATGTCACCCCAAAATATGACTGTAGGAGTTCAGGACATGTCACCCCAAAACATACTGCCTTGGCATATTGATTATTTTGAGCTGTAGGCACTTGAAAAACAGCAAATGCAGGGAGAGGCTTTCTCAGAACTCCCCTTCTCTGCCTAAAGACAGATCCTCCAAAAGGAACTCAATTGTCATCAGTCCCCTCCCGAGAATTTCATCAACCAGGGAAGACGGACTCCTGTCAAAGAACAGGAGACTAGAAGTCAATACCACACCCAGACACACTTTGTCACAAACCATCATCCCTCCCATCTCTTCTTCCAAGAGCCCACTCATCTTTCCTAAAAATAATTTACTTGCCCCTAAGTGGCCTACATATTCCCTCCCTTTCCCTAGTAAGATGGTATTTAACAAGTCTCAATTCTAAGCCACCTCAGGGAGTTCTCATTTTCCCCTGGGTATCTCCCATGCACACAGGAGATATACATGTGAATAAACTTCTGTTTTTCTCTTGTTCATCTGTCTTTTATTATAGGGGTCTCAGTCAAGAACTCCAAGGGTAGAAGGAAAATTATTTTTCCTTTCCTACACAGTTCTCTCAAGATTAGCTGATGAAGAGAAGGACCTTCAATGGAAACTCAACGCAAACATAACAGCATTTTCAGACTACACTTTCACACTCAAAGATCTACTAAAGGAGGTGGCAGAGAAGAGTGTAATGACAGAATTGAAACTGCTGATGGATGTCAAGAGTATTAGCAAGGTGTGAAAGCCTAGAAACCCAGCTCTCTCCTCGTTCCAGTTAAGGACAGAAGAATGTGGTCTTCCTCTGCGGTATTTGGCTCTGCAGAAAATCATGCAGAAATTGAAAGTACTCTGGATCCCGAAACAGCACATCCTAATCTGCTTGTTTCAGAGGATAAAAAAATCTGCGACATTTGTAAAGAAAAAGCAAAGAGTTCATCCAAATCCATAGAAATTACGGCTTATCCAGTAGTCGTGGGTTCTGAAGGATTTGATTCCAGCCGGCATTACCAGGAGGTCCAGGTGGGCAACAAGCCTGAATGGACCACGGGGGTTTGTAAAGACTCCGTTTCCAGGAAGAGAAAGTGACCCTGGTCAGGACAGAACAGATGGTGGACAATGTGGAATGGTGACTATGTCTCACGAGGTGCCGTTCCACTCACTCTTCTAAGGAAAAGCCCAGAGAGACTGGCGTTTATCTGGACTACAAATTGGGTGAGATTTCATTTTACCCCTTGAATGACAAGTCTCACATCCATTCTTTCGCTGACAAATTTTCTGAAGTCCTACTACCTTATTTCTTATCGGATGTGATTTAAAACCTCTTACAATCTGTGCAATAACAAATTATGAGGGATAAACTGCCTTGAAGGCTGTCACATGGCTTCACTTTCTTCCTGTAATCTGTGAATAGGAGGCAGAATGATGTACAACTCGCAGTGAATCTAGTATTAACAAATTCTTTAAATGTTTCTACGAATTAAGCACATAAATGAGATCATACAGTATATGCTCTTTTCCGTCTGGCTTCTTTCACTCAGAATAATTATTTTGAAATTCATCCATGTTGTTGCATGAGTCAATAATTCACCCCTTTTTAGTTCTGAGTAGTAGTCCATTATTTAGATATACCACAATTTGTTTACTCATTCACCCATTGATGGGCACAATTGTCTCTCCATGGGAGATATGAGTTGCTTTTTGGCTCATCTCTCACCCTTGTAATTATTGACAATGATCCAAAAGATCAGCAGGTCAGTCTAAACTCCTCTGCATAGACTGTAATGGGAAATAGACTAGAATTAGACCACATTGAAAAGAAAATGGTCAGAACCCCCAGAGAAGAATGTGCTAAGACAGCAATATAGTTCAAATACATATGCAAAAGACACTCTGATAGCCTTTCAACAGATGAAAAGATGCTCTACTGAGAAGACCATTTCTTGCCCATCAGAGTTGTCCAGAAGCTGACAAGACACATTTTGGGCAAAGCTGTGGGGAACAGACATTCTCATACATTGCTGGTGGGAGTGCAAAATGGAAAGACATTTGGAAATACCTAACAGTATGCATTTACCCTTCATCTGGAAATCCAACTTCCAGGATGTACCCTGAAGACATACCTCCACAAAGGTAACAAGTATGTACAATGTTATGCTTTGCAGACAATATTTATAACAGCAAAACATAGAAACAACACAAATTTCTATTAAATTTGAGACAATGTGTGCATTTGAAACAATGAATTTTAAAATAAATCTATGATTCCATAGTGGTATACCAAAAAATATTAATAATGATAATAATAATAAGTATATATAGAGAGAAGGGATGGTTGTGGCAGAAAAGTCTTTTTATGGAAGAATATCAGCTAATAAATATAGAAGCAATTATAAAACCAAAAAAATCAACATTTTCATATTCCTAATGTAAGAAGTGTTTCAAGTAGGAATTAACAATGGTTGCTAAAATCCTGACGGCAAAAAGAATATTAACACGTTGCCAAAATATCACCCTACACATTACTTATTAATTATAAAGGAATTAGGATCACTATCTTAACTTAGTTAACAGGTTATTTCTGGGGTAAGAGGGTATAGAGGACTTGACTTTCTACCTTATAGAGTTTTACATATATGTGTATAATATATACATGTGTATAATATATTTATATTTGTAAACCTATATATTAACAAATATATATATTTGTAAACTAGCATGCATTGTTTTTATAATACTAAGATAGAGCCATTTCATAAAAATAGAGATTCTATGTTGGAAAATTTTTTTTTTCCAGCGAGGAAGAGTGTCCCTGAGCTAACATCCATGCCAATCTTCCTCTATTGTGTATGTGGGACGCTGCCACAGCATGGCTTGATGAGCGGTGTGTACGTCCATGCCCAAGATCTGAACCCGCAAACCCCGGGCCACCGAAGTGAAGTGCATGAACTTAACTGCTACGCCACTGGGCTGGTCTGGAAAATTTTTTTTTCAATTTTAATTTAAAAAATAGAAGGAATCAGAACTTATAAAAAACACTAAACAAATCAGCAAAACTAATTTTTAAAAAATCAGACTTTTTAACTGCTAAACTTGTGGTTTACAAGTAGCTTCCTGGCATACTGTTTTTCAACTTTTCTATTTGAATGGCCTTTTAGACTATTGTGAAAAAACCTACTATTATGAAGAATCTACTATTACGAAAGAAAGAGACAGTAGGCTAAATTAGTTCATTGACTTCCTTTAAAAAAAAATCAGTTTCCAACATAAAAATTTATCAAAATCAGAATAAAAGTCAAATATGTCAAATTCCAATGTGAAGTAACAATTTAGCAGTCCTGTCTAAAACCGAATAGGTCCGTGCCTGGGATCCGAACCCGCAAACCCCGGGCTGCTGAAGCGGAGTGCGCACACCTAACCACTATTCCACTGCACTGGCCCCTTAATGATCTTGATTTAAGGAATTTTCCCTACCCTACTCTCCCCTTTCAGAGGACAAAACCCAAAGACATAGGAAAAAAATATATAAAAATGCTTACGAACATCCTGGATATCCATTTTTAGTAAGGAAAATGATATTGACAATAGATCCTCCATGCTCTTTCATCCAGGATTTGTAAACTGCAGAAGACAAAAATGACGATCATATCAACTAGTGTCCTGACCCTTCTCTGATCCCCTGTTCCAGCATGCCGCTTATTCGATACTTTTAAAATTTTAATTTACATTTCTTTTTTATAAAGAGCCTGACTGAGGTACAATTTACATATCACAAAATTCATCCACTTTTCATGTACAATTTAATGATTTTTAATAAATATACCTAGTTGGGTAACCATCACCACAATCCAGTTTTAGTACATTTCAATTTAGTACATTTGTGCCCATTTGCAGCTCAACCCATTCCCAGGCGAACACTCATCTACTTTCTGTTTCTATGGATTTGACTTTTCTGAACATTTCATATAAATGTTGGTCTTTTGTGTCTGGCTTCTTTCACTTAGAATGATGTTGGTGAGGTACATCCATCTTTTTTTTTTTTTTTTTGTGAGGAGATCAGCCCTGTGCTAACATCTGCCAATCCTCCTCTATTTTGCTGAGGAAGACTGGCCCTGGGCTAACTTCCGTGCCCCTCTTCCTCCACTTTATATGGGACGCCGCCACAGCATGGCTTGCCAAGCAGTGCGTGAGTGCGCACCTGGGATCCAAACTGGCAAACCCTGGGCCACCGCAGAGGAGCATGCGCACTTAACCACTTGCGCCACTGGGCCAGCCCCCTCACCCATCTTTTAACACTTATCAATAGTTACTTTTTATTGCTGAATGGTATTCCATTGTATAGATATGCCATATTTTGTTTATCCATTCACCATCTGATGAACGTTTGGATTGTTTCCACTTTTGAGTGATTATAAATCTTTGTGTGGACATATGTTTTTATTTCTCTTGGGAAGATACCTAGGAGTGGAATTACTGGGTCATATGGTACTCTCTGTTTAATTTTTTAGGAAACTGCCAGACTGTTCCCCAAAATGTCTCTACCATTTTACATTCCTACAGAAACACAAGAGCGTTCCAGTTTCTCCACACTATTGTCTGACTTTTTGACTACAGCCATTCTAGTGGGTGTGAAGTGGTATCTCAATGAGGTTTTGGTTTGCATTTCCCTAATCACTAATGGTGTTGAGCATCTTCTCAAGTGCTTATTAGCCATTCATATATCTTCTTTGGTGAAATATCTATTCAAATCTTTTGCCCAATTTTTAACGGGGCTGTTTTCTTATTATTGAACTATAAGAGTTCTTTGTACATTCTAGATACAAGTCCTTTATCAGATATGTGATTTGAAAATCTTTTCTCCCAGTCTGTGGCTTAACTTTTCATTTTCTTAATGGTGTGTTTTGAAGCACAAATGTGTTTAATTTTGATTAAGTCCAGTTTATCACTTTTTTAATTTTATAGATGCTATTTTTCGTGGTGTATCTTAGGATTCTGCCTAACCTAAGGTCATAAAGATTTTCTCCTTTGTTTGCTTCTAAAAGTTTTATAATTTTAATTTTAGCATTTAGGTCCAGGAGCCATTTTGAGTTAACATTTACTTATAGTGTGCGGTAAGGGTCTTTCTGCACGTGGATATCCAATTTTGCCAGCACCATTGGTTGAAAAGACTATTGTTTCCTCATAGAATTGCCTTAGCACCTCTGATGAAAATCAATCGACCACGAATATAAGGGTTTATTTCTGGACTCTCAATTCTATACCATCGACCTATAAATCTATCCTTATGTCAGTACCACACTCTGTTAAAATCAAGAAGTATAAGTCCCCCAACTTTCTTCTTTTACAAAATTGTTTTGGCTATTCCAGGTCTTTTGCATTTCCACATATATTTTAATTTATTGTCAATTTCTGCAAAAATGGATAGGGATTGCATTGAACCTACAGATCAATTTGGGAAGAACTACCATCTTAACAATATTGAGTCTTCCAATTCACAAACATAGATTGTCTTTCCATTTATTTAGATCTTCGTTCACATCCGTCAACAATGTTTTGTAGTTTTTAAAAGCATAAAAGTCTTACACTTCTTTTGTTAACTTCATTCTTAAATATTTTATCCTTTTTGAAGCCCCATTTGATAGCTAGGCATCCATTCTATTCATACAAATCAAGACAATGCTGGAGATGTACTTTAGGACTCGCTTCAACAGAAATCTAATTTTTAGAATGTAAAAACCAGAGAACAAGTCAATACCCATCCTTATTAAAAGCTCAAGCAAAAGTAAGGATGCCTTCCCATTAATACTTAATGCTTTCCTGTGAGTTCTTACCAATTCATAACATATAACAGAAAAAAGAATGTAAAACCACTAGAAAAAGACATAGAATGCAATATGTTTTAAATCTCTGACAACTTTTTCACATCGCTGAAACTGGGTACGTCTTACAATTGGAGGCATCTTATAATTACAAATAGCAAAGTTTTTACTTTGTTAAAAGTATACAGAATGATGGTACATTTCACAACTGGCTGTATCTTTGACTCAATTAAATACAGTAGTTATTTTTAGACTGTACAATTGTATATTCAGAAGACCCAAAAGACTAATGTGACAAACCGTTAGATAAAGCTACAAATCATTAGATAAAACTAAAAGGTCAATTTGAAAAAATAATTCTTCTATAAACCAACAGTAATCCAGTTGAAAAATAATTGGAAAAAGAGCCCATTCAAAATAGCAACAGCCATCAAAAATATCTAGGTATTAATAAAAAAATATGAGATCTACATGACAAAAACCACAAACTTTTGCCAAAAGATTAAGAGTCCATTAATGAAAAGACATGTCATGATGGGGAGACAATATTTAAACATGTTAATTATTTTCAAATCATTAATAAGTTTAGCACAATTCTAATCAAATTCCCCAACAAGATTTTTGAGGAACAAACTTGAATATAAAAGTCATCTGAAAGAATAAACGGTCATGTATAGCCAAGAAAAGTTTGGAAATAAAAATAAACAAAGCTGTATGTACCATATCGAATATTTTAAAAATTTATAAAACTATTTGATACTAGTACAAGAAAGGAGAATAAGTTTATATAAATTACCTTCACAGACTTTCTGCTTCTGGTTAAATACTACCATATATTTTACAACTCTGAAGTCTCCCCTGACACTTCTCCAGGGCTATTCTTCAAGATATTTGAGACAGTCATCAGATGCCAATCATAAGTCCAGGCTGTTACCTATGCTTCTTGATTGGCTATAAATCAGACGTTCCCATGATCCCCTCCTTGGAATCAATTAATTTGTTAGAGCAGCTCAAAGAACTCAGGAAACTAGTTTACTTACTAGATTACCAGTTTATTACGAAGGATATTAAAGGATATCAATCAACAGCCAGATGAAGAGATACATAAGGCAAAGTCCTGAACAAACGGGCTTCTGTCCTTGTGGAGTCTGGGCCTAGCACAGTGCCATGTGGAAGTATTCTGATTCACCAACCTGGAACCTCTCTGAACTTTGTCCTTTGGTGTTTTTGAGAAGGCTTCATTACACAGGCATGATAGATTAAATCATTGGCCACTGCTGACTAATTCAATTTCTAGCACCTGTCTCCTCCCTGGAACTCAGGAGGAGAAACAGAAAGTTCCAACCCTCTAATCACGGTTGGTCCCTAGCAACCAGCCCTCCCCATCTTTAGGGACTTTCCAAAAGTCACCTCATTTACATAAACTCAGTTGTGGTTGAAAGGGGTTTGTTATGAATAAGACACCCATTTCACCATTATGGTTCTGAAGCCATTTCAGGAACTGAAGACAAGAGACCAAATATAACAAAAGATGCTCCCACGGCTCTCAGAGCTCAGGAAATTCCAAGGGTTTTGGTAGCTGTGACCCTGGGACGGTGGATGGAAGACCAAAATATATAGCATTGATTATAAATCACAATATCACAGTCCCTAATGATTATAGAACTACCATACTCTTTGTAGACTACCTACCCAGACTTTTTTATGTGAGGGAGAAATAAACTATCTTATTTAAGCTCCTGTTTTCTCTGGGGTCTCTACACTGGAGCAGCCATTCCTGTATCACAACTAATACAGAGCTTTACGCTGGTAGATAAAGATGAAGCCTCGGACTGTCTGCAAGATGTGTGACTTACAGATACTGAGAATATAAAGCCCAATCCACTTTGAGGTGAAGACCCTTTGGGTCAGAATTATATTCATTCTATGCTTTTCATCATCGAAATGTCTTGGATAGTTTGTAAGGAAACCTTTGAGTTACCCAACTTCAGAAGTTTAATATTACCACCTATGAAACATAACCTTTAATTCAAAGAAGATGCATGCATGCTAATTAGTTGTTAGTCAGAAGGAATGTGGGCTCTCTCTGGTATTCTCTCTGAAGATCTGACTGACTTAATCAACAGGCCCTTATAAGAGATTTAACAGATTCATTTCTCAAAAACAAAGTGTGAGAGTTTTTTTTAATTTTATGAACATCTTTGTAGCTATCCTTTGTACAGATCCTTAATAATTTTCTCATGATAAATGCCTAGAAATAAAATTATAAAATCAAAGGATACCCACATTTTGTAAATATTGCCAACTTATTCTCCACAATTGTAGCAATTTACATTCCTATGTTGTATATGAGCAAATCAGGGCAGTAAACGTTGATGACATGGAGCTTCTGAGCCCCTAACAATTTCTCTTTCAGGATTCTCTATGATCCTTAAAGACATCTTAACTTTTGGGGTTACTGATCACACTTGCCTGCTTTGCACATGTAGAAGGTGCCCGTCAGGTTGGTTTCGATCACAGCGTGCCATCCCTTAGCACTGATGTGTTCAGCAGGAGCTATGAACTGGCCTCCTCCGTTGTTTACCAAGAAATTGATCTTACCATAAATATCTAAGGTGGATTTGACCAAATTATTCACCTAAAGAAAAACATTAAAAGTAAACTGGTTAATAACCTAACTTGCTACTTGGACTGATGGTTTGCTCTAGGAGAGTAAGAGAACTTGCAGTCTCTCACAGTGAATGGTAACTCCAACTGCCACAATACCCACAGATAATAAAGCTAAATTTGTAATCTTGACAACAAGATTTATCCAAGGCCCTGGAACATTCCTAAGTAGGGCAGGCCTCCATGGTATTAATTTGTGAGCTACCAACCCAGAATAATGGATAGTGATGAAATCAGGTTAAAATTAACATTAAGAAATGACTTCAAGTGCAGAAGACACAAAAGGTGGTGTCACTGAGACTTCCCCATCTTGCTTAGTTTCCCTAGCTTGCTCCCTCCCTCTCCTTCTCCTGAGGTCACTCACTCAATAAGTCATTAGCAGAAGAATCTCCTTCACAGGGGCTGCTTCTAATGAACCCCATCCAAGACAGCTACCACAAGAAAACTGTCGGTTTTAGGACCAACAGTCAGGTTTAGGAACCACTACTGTAAGTTAAAATGAATGAATAAATGATTCATTGCATTTAAAAGTGCATTACCTCCTCTTCTCTACGGATGTTGCATTTTATGGGAGTGACCTGAGCATTGCTGGTGGGAGGCAGGATGGCCTTCAGTTGAGTTGCAGCAGATTTTAATCTATCAAAGTTACGAGATGCGATGACCACATTACACCCTGAAGAGAAAACAGCAAAGAACAAGTCAACAAGCTTCCATTGGTTGTATAAACTCCAAAAATAACAGTGTTTAGAAAATTATTTCATATGTTGCCGTAAAAAGATGAATTAAGACTTCTGCTTCTGGTCAAGATGGAGTAATGAGAATTGAAGTGACCCTCCAGACCAAAACAACTCAAAAAACGGACAAAGTATGTGCCACAATGATTTTCAGGCATTGGACATCAGAGAGCACAGGACAGTGATCTCAGAGAGTAGAAACAGACAATGTGAGCCCTGTGATTATTCTAACTTGCTGCCTGGACAGAGTCTCCAGGCTGCAGCACAGGGAGGAAAAACCCATTCAGAGCCCAGGAATCTCCTGGGTGGAAAAGATGAGGTTGGGAGTCCAGGGAGGCCAAGACAGCTAGATTACACAAGACACAGAGAGAAGAGAGGTACACAGAGAGACAACTCCAGAGATTTGCAGAGAGTTCCCTCACGTCTTCAGCTGAGGCCTGATTAATGCATGTGAGTGAGGAAACTATGTGAGGCTGGGGAGAGACCCACCCAAAATGAACAGAGGGAACAAACCCTGGCACTCACACAGCACTGGGAATAGTTAGTGTTCCCACCAGGAAAAACCTTTCATGGGGCATTGGGTAAAGGACTCAGAAGGGTATGGCCTCAGTAGCAAAATGAGCCCTAAACTAAAGGTTGATCAGGTCAACACTTAACATAAAGCAAGCCTCTTTTAAAGAATCAAACTGTTTCCAAGTAACTTAACTGCATCACAGAACAAAGCTCAAGAATATCTATAAGAATGTAAAAATAACGAGCATCCAACAAGGTAAAATCTAAAAATGTCTGGCATCCAACAAAAAACTACCAGGCATGCAAAGGAGCAGGAAAAAGAACTCATAATGAGGAGAAAAGTCAGTTAATAAAAACAGACTAAGAAATGGCACTGATGATATAATTACATAAACCAGTGATAAAGAGAAAAATATTAAAAGCAGCCAGAGGAAAAAACACATTCAGCACAAAACAAAAAAGACAAGGAAGACAGAAGACTTCTTTTCAGAAACAATGCAAGCCAGAAGACAGTGGAACGTCTTGAAAGTACTGGAGATGGGGGTGGTGGGGTAGAGTGAAGGTTTGGGAATCTAGAAATCTTGACCCAGTGAAAATAGCTTTCAAAAATGACGGCAGGGGCTAGCCTGGTGGCATAGTAGTTAAGCTCACATGCTTTGCTTTGGGGCGGCCCACGGTTCGCAGGCTCAGATGCTGGATGTGGACCTACACACCGCTCATCAAGCCATGCTGTGGCAGCGTCCCACATACAAAATAGAGGAAGACGGGCACGGATGTTAGCTCAGTGACAATCTTCCTCAAGCAAAGAGAGGAAGATTGGCAACAGATGTTAGCTCAGGGCCAATCTTCCTCACCAAAAAAAAAAAGATGGCAAAATAAAGACTTGTTCATACACATAATAGCTAGAAGAATTCATTAAAACAGATCTGCACTACAAAAAAGATTAAAGGAAGTCCTCCAAGCAGGACAATGATACCAGATGGAAATCTAAATCTACAGAAAGGAAGAAAGAGAACCAGAAATGGTAATTATGTGAGTAAATACAAAGGCTTTTCTTCTTTCTACTCAAATCTCTTTAAAAGGTACTGATTTGGGGCCGGCCCGGTGGCGCAAGCAGTTAAGTGCGTGCGCTCTGCTGCGGCGGCCCGGGGTTCGCCGGTTCGGATCCCGGGCGTGTACCGATGCACTGCTTGTCAAGCCATGCTGTGGTGGCGTCCCGTATAAAGTGGAGGAAGATGGACACGGATGTTAGCCCAGGGCCAGTCTTCCTCAGCGAAAAAACAGGAGGATTGGCAGATGTTAGCAGAGGGCTGATCTCCTCACAAAAAAAATAAAATAAAATAAAAATAAATAAAAGGTACTGATTGTTTAAAGTAAAAACGATAACAATGTATTTTAGGATGTATAACATATGTAGAAATGAAATGTATGAGAAGAACAGTGCAATGGCCAGGAAAGGTAAAACAGAAGTACAGGCCACCCTTGTTTTGCTCAGCTCTGATATGCACCGATTTCCATTACCTTAGCTTAGTTAAATAACACCAAACCCCCAACAACATGGTTCAAACTTCTGTTATCATAGTACATTAACTGCAAGCAACTGCATAAAATACAAACTTCACTGTTAGCTCCCCAATCCACAAGTCACCATGTGAATAACAGATCCAGATCATGATCAATGACTTATCACGCCACTTCTTTCAATGTCTGCAGTGATTGGGCACTGTGCATCTGTTCTTCAATTCACGCACAGACGGCAAAGAATGCAGCTGTGTTGCCTCCTTGTCTCCCAACAATAAACCCATGTGACATTTTACAAAAATGGCTGATTGAAAGAGGGACCAGCCAACAAAGATAAAAGTGTGACAAAGAAATAAAAACTGGTAACACTGGAAGTGAAATTAGAATTCAATGTAAATAGAGTTATAAGAGGAAGAGCTGCCCATGGGAATGCTAACACTGCCAGCAGTGTTTTGCTTGAGTAAGTACTAAGCCAAAATATGCTGGACTACCCGTGTGCCTTATTAAGTAATCCTGAACCTCACTGTTCATTGTTGCCTTACTTTTTAGCTCATCTTAAAGAGAATGCTTCCTCCTTTTCATGTATAAATATAGAAAACAGAAACACTTGCCAGGGCAGCCTCAAAGTAGAAAGAGGAAGGAACCTCACCACCTCTGGGAAGCCCAGAGGGATACAGTAGATTTAAATTTAACTATATTGATAATCACAACTATATCGATAACTCTCCTCCCTCTCCTTCACCAAGCCGAGGCTGGCAGCCCCTTCTGCATGCTCCTATATCCCTGTCCTCACTCTAAAACATCATTTAAGCCCATATTGCATAGTAATTATCTGTTTACTTAACAGTCTCCTCCACTCTCTGTCACCCCCCGGAGCATAGGAACCCTGTCACTGCTGTAATTTTTACCCTAGCACACAATCCACAGTCAACATACACATGCGGAATTAACGAAGTTTATAAAGGCAAAGAGTAAAATGGCTCTCTGTTTGGCAAGAAGTATTTTAGTTGTGTAGGATGAGCCAGCTTCTGCATATTAAAATAAGGCACTTTAAAAATTATTTTTGGGCCGGTCCCATGGCTTAGGGGTTAAGTGCATGTGCTCTGCTACTGGCGGCCCGGGTTCGGATCCCGGGCATGCACGGACGCACTGCTTGTCTGGCCATGCTGAGGCAGCGTCCCGCATACAGCAACTAGAAGGATGTGCAACTGTGACATACAACTATCTACTGGGGCTTTGAGGAGAAAAAGGGAAAAAAAAAGGAGGAGGATCGGCAATAGATGTTAGCTCAGGGCCAATCTTCCTCACAAAAAAATAAATAAGTGAAAAAAAATAAAAATAACCATCCATAATTCAAATCATTTGCAGAAAAAGTACTTGCTGTTAACAATGTTATGAACTTCCTTCTAATCTTTTTCTGCATATATATTTTTCATTAACAATCAAATTGGAATGCTATATTTTGTTTAGAATTCTGCTTTTTTCAATAATATGGGATGCATTTCTCCACATAAGTCTTCAATAGCAAGATGTTTAAATAACAGCATATTTCATTGTCATTGATTTAACAATTTCCCCCATAATGGATATTTATTTCCAACGTTTCACTCCTCTACACTACCTCTTTGTACACAAATCTGTGCTTATCTCTGATTATTTCCTTAGGGTAAATTCCTGACAGAGGAATTACTCAGTCATACAGCATGAATATTGTTAACGCTCTGGAATTTTCTTTTTCCAAATTGCCCTCAACAAGCTTGTAATAATTTACATTCTTGCCTGCCTTCTCACTCCCTTATTAACACTTTCAGTTCCCCCAATGCTTTAAAATTTTGGTAGAAAAACAATCTCATCTTACTATTGTATTATTTTGCATTTTATTGCCAGTAAAGTTGATTATTTTCTCATATACTTACTGCTTGTTTTTAGATCTTCATTTGGAACACTTGGTCCATACCATTAGCCCATTTTTCTAACAGTGTGTAAGATCTTTTCCCTATTTATTTGTGAGAGCTCTTTATATAACGAATTTGTTTTTCTTTATGTGCATTTAAACTTTATATTTTTTTAATTCAATGAGGATTTACATTTTCATATAGGTAAATGTACCTATTTTGCCTTTTGTGGTTTTTTTCCTTGTTTATGTGCTTACAAACTCCTCCCTTCACTCAAGTTAATTTAAATATTATAAGAGATGGGGGAAGATTACATAAAGGGAGCCTCTCGATATGTTACAACCTTTTCCAGTGAAATGAAGTCTTCCCATGTTTCCTAATCCCTCATTAGGCAATATATAGAAGGGACTGAGTTTAAATACACATCCAGAACTAATTCCATAGCCTGCTGCACAGGTCTCCTTATTCCCTACCTGGGCACAGTACACTGTACGTATCTTTGGCTCTAAATGTCCCCTTTAGTTTACAAACAGTGGTTCATCATCCCACACTCGTCTACCATTTCTTAGAACCCTGTTCTCTCTCCCTTGCGGTTTCCATTTCGGCCCCATCTACAGCTCCTTTGTTTTGCAACTCCACGCTCTGCCAAGCCCGCCTAGCTGCCCCCTGACCCCCGACCCCCGGTTACGCCAGCCTGTGTCTCTACCCACCCCTCGATCTGGGTAGCCCGGCCCAGGGTCCCGCTCACGTACCCAGCTGCAGGAGGTCGGCCACGATGGCCCTTCCGATGCCCGTGCCCCCGCCGGTGACGATGGCCACTTGATCCTGCAGCAAGCAGGCCGCTAGGAATCTCTTGCCCTTGACCCACGCCTCCATGGCCGCGGAGCGTCTGAGTGGTCGCAGCGCAGGCCAGCCCGGGTCACTGGGTCCCCGCGGCCACGGAGCTGGCCTGGGCGGAGAGCCCTCGCCCACGTGACCGCCTGGCCCCGCCCCGCCCCGCCCCGCCCGGCGCAGCAGCTCCCCGTCCTCCAAGGGAAGGACGGCTCCAGGCGGCGGCGTCCTGACGGTCAGCATCCTCTGCCAGCCTCTGTCCCCGGCACGTGTAGGTGAGACTCCTGGTTCGTTTGTTTTTTTTTTTTATTTCGATGCTAAGGGAGTGGCGGGGGGGGCGGGGAGAGGCAGAAGGGAAGCAGACAAAAAAGCAGGAGCGTGCTCTATTTTGAAAAATTCAACCCTCGGTGCTATAGCTTTCACGGTTAATTAAAATTAAATCTCCAGCGCATCAGAGAAAAGAGAAGGTGCAGCTCCGGAGCCTTGCCGCGCCCGCCCGCCTCGGACGTCGGGCGATGCTCTGGCCCCAGCGGCTGCGTGCGGCTGGCTGGGGAGGGAAGGGGTAGGCTTAGCTGAGGGGGAAGAAATCCGGCTTCCAGATCCTTTCATCCCCCGGAAGGGACCCTCGGGATGAGAGTCAGGGGGGAGGGGAGTACAGTTGCAGTTATCCACAAAACCAAGATAATAAATGATTTTAAAAATAAACTCGAGCCCTCCTCCACCTCATCGTCCTCTCCCCACCCAGGAATGAAGGGAAGAGGCAACCTTTACGAGATTTGAGATCTGATCCATTTCAGCTGGGCTGCATAAACTGATGGGTTCAAAAGAGGATCTTTCCTTGAAGGGTGCATGCTTCCTGCAAGAACGCATCTGTAGGTGTGTGTCTGAGATTCCATCCTCTAGATCCTATCCTCATTCCTTATACAGGGGGACTCGCCTCCTGAGGATGGGTGGAAATTTCTCCTCTGTGTTTTGGTGCACTGTAACAGTGATTTATTATTCAGATTCTCCTCCTCATTGTTCATCTTCCTTCATGCTGTCAACCCGCTGGAGAGAGATTACACCTGGACTGGCCCAGTGAGACTTTGCCTAAGAACTTGGCAGATCTGGGGGATGTGTCAGATGCTGTGGTCTTAACAATCTGGGCAAGATGCTGTTTCTAAGCCTGATGTCAGAATACTGTGTGGGGAGAGAGGGAGAATGCCCCTCTGCCCTTTTCCCTTAAGGTTCTTATGGCTGGCCAAATAATCAACAAGACAGGTTAGCAGGAGAAAATAATACCAAGTTTAATAACATGTATACATGGGAGAAACTCAGAAATGAGCAACTCGTCCCTCTGTCTAAGCTGCTTGCTTAAGTATTGTAGCTAAAAGCGAGGAAGGTGTTGAGGGTAGGTAGTGGCCTGGGACTTCAGAAGGCAAGAAGACAATTCTTTTCAGGGTCATCTATAGATAATGTGGTCAGGGAGAGAGAGAGTTTTTTTGATAAAAGGGGCTTGGTGCCCCTTCCATTGTAACATCTATTTTACATTATCATTACAGCCATCATGACAGAAGATCTGTTCCAGGAAGGAGCCACCATGTCAAATTGTTTAGGCAGTTAGTGGGGGAGGTCAAATGTCCCTCAGAGAAAACAATCTAGGTAAAGAGATATATTTCAGGATGGCCAAATCTTGATCTCCCACAACTGTATTTTCCCGTGCTGGGTATTAAAATAATGTAAAAGCAAACAAATGCCATCATTTGATAAATAAATGGCAAGCAATAGGATATATTGGAGCATATGAGGAAGCCATTTGGGGTAAAACTAATTCAGCCTGAGTTTGTTTTTCCAAAAGAGCCTGTTGCCTGCATTGTGTATCTGCTTTGCCATGTCCCAAAGAGAAGAGTAAATGCCCTTAAGGTAAGGATGCAACTTCCCCCACACTGACATTTACTTAAGGATAAGCATTTCTCCCTAGGCTAGGATTTGACTGCTGCACTCATCCTGTGACCATCCAGCTTGAGACAACAGACCTGACACCAGCCACGCCCATTGAGACAGCAGACCTGCTCCCCGCTGTGTCCATCAATAGCTATTCTGGCAGGGTGATCTTGTGGCTATTGTAAAAGGGACATTGCAATCATATGTGATACATGCTCTTTGATGGTATATAACCACTCTGTACACCCCACTTCTTCGGTGCCCTTCCTTCCTTAGGGAAGGAAGGCCCTGGGCCATGGTCCTCAAAAGTTGGCTCATAGTAAACTCACCCCAATTTTGATTTATAGATTGATTATGGATTATTTACGTTGACACATTCTTTTGTTGAGCCTACCACCTAGTAATTCACAAAGCAAGCTGGGAATGGTGGTTGAGAGTGGAATCAGACATAACTTCCTGTTCCTCCATCCACCTGCCCTTCTCTGACCTTCTTTAAGAAACACTTGCCCTTCTATCTTTGTTGCTGACAGATTCCAATCTACACATTAAAGTAGGGAAGAAATCTCTTCCACCTCCCATTTGCTGGATGGTTTATCGAGGAACCACTTACTTCTACCGCTGAAGTCAGTTCTATAGTTAGGACCAAATTTTTAAAAATTACACCATCACCTCCTTAAAAAAGAAGTAAGTTTAAATAGGAAAGTTCAAAGTATCATTGTGGAAAAGCATAAATCCTAATGCTTTGATCCCAATGACAAAGTAGTTTTTTAACAGAAAGAGAAATATTGACTCAGTTCTGAGGGTTTTCTTATTCCAGAAAATTCCAGGCTTTCTTTCTTGGAAGAAAGGAACACTTGAAGTTTCTTTTAAAGATAATTTTATCAGAGAGATAATTTAATGTGGTTTGTGGCCTGGGCTGGACCTGTGGATTCACGGAGCTCTCCCAGGGCTGGTCAGTATGGGCCTGGCTGTCCTGCAGACTCTGTGTGGTGGCTGAGTGGACTGAGAGAGGGATTCTGCAATCCTCCAGGGAAAAGATGACTGGACTGCTGCCACCCTGTTTTGCTGGCTGAGGATGAGAAGGAGCCATTCCTCAGCTGCAAGGAAGTTGCAAGGAAGAGCAGTCAGAAAACCTTTTATCACAGTCCAGAGAGAGCTTGTGATTGAGAGAGATGTGGAGTCTTTCCCAGAGGTCTTTTACTAAAAATAAAGAGGCATGTCCTCTTTGCCTCAGACCTCAGTCAGGGTTTGAAAGTCTGCTAACCCCAAAAGGACTGGAGGCACAGCAATAGTTTTGCCTCTTGGAGGCTCTTTGTTTCCAGATTTTAACTCCGGCTCCTGGTTGAGCCATCTTGTCTCAGGGCAACCACGCCATGCTGAGTTGACTGCTCCTTTGGCTGAATCAAATGCTACCCTGCGCTCTGCATCACTGCCCCCTTTGTCCTGGAGAGAAAGGCCTCGCCATGGCCATGATCCTTCCACACTCCCACTGTGTCACACCCCATTAGCACTGGCTCCCTTCATCTTCTGAGATGCGTCTTCCCACCCCTCTCCCACCCATCTGCCTGGTAACTTCATTTTCTCCCCTCCACAAAGCAGCTGCTGGCTCAGACTGACAGGGGTCTGTGGGATTCTCAACATTCAGATTCACAGAATCTGGGTGCTGAAGGAATGTCAATGAGGCATCTAGCCCCGCCCAATCTTGAAGTAAGAGCAATCCTGAGCCAATTTACATATTATGTAATATGTTACATAATTATGTTACATATTACGTAATATGTTACATAATTGTGTTACATATTATGTAATATGTTACATATTATGTAACACAAGTTACATAAATAAGACCCTTAACCAGTTCACAATATGCAGCCAATATTTGTTGAACACCTGCCAGGTCCTGTTCTAGGCCTGGAGGATACAGAACAGTGGACAACAGTTAAGTGTCCTTGCCTTTGTAGAGTTTATGTTCTAGCATGTATGTATCTTGGGAGCAGGAGTAGGGGGTGGGAGGAGTATGTGTGCCGTGAGAGGTAGGGCAATAAGCAAACAAAAGAACAGAGAGTGGCGATCAGATCTCACAGCTCTTACAAAAATGAGATGCTCAAGCTCCTTGTAACCAACTACCCTCGCTTCCAGGAATTATTTCCTCTGTAGACAGTAGGATCCTCCCTAGATGATGATCCTGCCTCACTGGGAGAGCCTTTCAGGACCAGGTAGGTTGGCAATAACAAAAGAAATACTGCTCACAGTGATGTGGGGCCACTGAGTCACAAGTCGAAAAAGAATTTTCAGACGTGAGCCAATCGTTCGTTCATGCACCTTTACTTTGTGTTCAGCATGGGAACAGGACCCATGGGCAGTAAGGAGCTGCCTGGGGGCAGGACCCATGGGCAGTAGAGAGCTGCTCCATGGAAGCCCCTGTGCGGGGCCATTACATACCTATTCTATAGAATATTTTCAGTATTCTATAGAAATGTCAAACGAGAAAGTATTAGGTGGTCTGGTTAGCCTCAAAGATTAGGGCATGGGGCGGATGAATGAGATGTGCCCTTGCATTCCAAGGTACAGTCTGCCTCAAGTGACACATAGGCAGGAGAGTAAAGTCATTGATTACCTCCTGAGGTAAATTCCTTCGCTCCTAGTCAGAGGTGAATGAGTAATGAAAGACTGAATGAAGTCTCATGGAAAGAATTGGAAATTGTAAAACGAGTCATAGACAAGGTTTCAACCACGTCATATTTCCCTCTGAACCCTTGATCCCAAAAATCTTTGGGAAACGGGTGAAGGTCCATCTTCTATATCTACTTCCTGCTGAGTATGGGCATAGAGCTGTCCCTAAACGGGGATCATGTGACTGGAACCGGGGGCCTCAGATGACCGAAATGTGGCCGCTGCAGAGTCAAGTGCAGACAAGGTAGTGACCGTTTCAAGATGAGAGAGAATCGTCTGTCGAGAGGGCGAAGTTAAGGAAGTGAGTCCTTATTGGCAACTGACAGATAAACAGTGGAAAAGACAGCATATCGCAATTAACAGAATCAAGAAGCCTGCTAATCCAATAAGGAGAGCTTTGATAGTCATCCAGAACCCAGGACCCGACCATGAATTTAGCCAATCATTAAAAGAGAGGGTGGGGTCCCACATGGAC